CTGCTCCTATAACTATGACCAATAAGGACTATGTGAGACAAAGTTTGTTTGCTCGTGTGTGTTGATTAAAATAAATATCTACTGATATGAAGAACTATTTTTACAGCCCTGGCTTGTTCTTTATCAGTATTTCCACTAGAATGATGCTCTTAAAAAGTACCACACAAGTGAAATGAACGTTTAAAAAGCAACGTGACATATGTATGAAACTACGTGATAATACGTCTGTCAGCAGGAAAGTCAATATCCAGAGACTAACTTGAAGGTTTTCGAAGTCGAGAACTAAAATAAATCTTTTTTTTCCCCCAAAGGCAAGGACTTCGACTACATCACGGTAACCTTCACAAGTAACAGGCATCAAGCACAAAAAAACGAAGATGAGTCGCAGAAATTGAAGAAGCCTACCTTGTTCCAAAGATGACATTATAAATGACGTTGGACGTTGCCTTAGACAAGATGGGTTTCATGTAGTAGGGTTAGGTTTACGCCTGGTTAAGGTTAGTGTTAGGGTAATTAGGTTAGGGTTAGTGTGAGGGTAATTGGGTTAGGGTTAGTGTTAGTTTTAGGGTTAGAGTTATAGTTAGGGTAAGTGTCAGTGTCGCACCTTGTTCCAAAGATGACATTACAAATGACATTAGACGTAGCCTTGGACAGATGGATTTCATGTAGTAGGGTTAGGGTTAGTGTTAGTATGTGTTAGGGTTAGGGCAGTGATAGGGCTAGTGTTAAAGTCTAGGCGTTAAGGTTAGGGTTAGATGTGTTAGTGTTGAACCTTGTGCCGAATATGACATAACAAATGACGTTGGACGTTGCCTTGGACAAGATGGGTTTCATGTACTAGGATTAGGGTTATGTCTGGTTAGGGTTGTGGTTAGGGTTAGGGTTAATGAAGCACCTTGTGCCAAAGAGTTATGGTTAGGGTTATGGTTAGGGTTATGGTTAGGGTTAGGGTTAATGAAGCACCTCGTGCCAAAGAGTTAAGATTAGGGTGATGGTTAGGGTTAGGGTTAATGAAGCACCGTGTGCCAAAGAGTTAAGGTTAGGGTCATGGTTAGGGTTAGGGTTAATGAAGCACCGTGTGCCAAAGAGTTAAGGTTAGGGTTATGGTTAGGGTTAGGGTTAATGAAGCACCTTGTGCCGAAGAGTTAAGGTTAGGGTTATGGTAAGTGTAAGTGAACTACCTTGTTCCGAAGATGACGTTACAAATGACGTTGGACGTTGCATTGGACAGGATAGGATTCATGTAGTAGGGTTAGGGTTAGCGTTAGTTTTAGGGTTAGAGTTATAGTTAGGGTAAGTGTCAGTGTTGCACCTTGTTTCACAGATGACATTACAAATGATGTTAGACGTAGCCTTGGGCAGGATGGATTTCATGTAGTAGGGTTAGGGTTAGTGTTAGTATGTGTTAGGGTAAGAGTAGAGATAGGGCTAAAGTTAGGGTTAGCATAAGCGTTAGGGTTACAGTTAGACCTGTAAGTGAACTACCATGTGCTGAAGATGACGTTACAAATGACGTTGGACGTTGCATTGGACAGGATAGGATTCATGTAGTAGGGTTAGGTTAATGCGTGGTTAAGGTTAGTGTAAGGGTAACTAGGTTAGGGTTAGTGTTATGCCTAGATAGGGTTAGTGTTAGCATTAGGGTTAGGGTTATAGTTAGGGTAAGCGTCAGTGTTGCACCTTGTTCCAAAGATGACATTACAAATGACGTTGGACGTAGCCTTAGACAGGATAGGCTTCATGTGGTAGGGCGCACCCTCCAGCCTAGACAGCTGCTCCAGAATGACCGAGGTCTCCTCCATCACTTTCTCCTCCAAGCTCTTCTTGCCCACCCCCAGCTCTCTCATGGCCGTCAGACTGACGCGACGTAACTCCTGCCACGCCACGCCGTTACTCAGGATCACGCCTGGGGGTGGAGGAGGAGAGAGGGGTGGGGGTGTTGGGGGTGTG